GTCTGGGCATACGCGCTTAGAAAACAGCTAGTGTGTGTAGCGGCAAGTTTCAAGGACGCCATCTAACACCTTAACAAACATACAAACTTTAGAAAAAAATAGTAGATCAACGTAATGAGTTACTGATGAACATTTACTTGAATAACAGCTAGTGTGTGTAGCTAAACGTTTCAAGGACGCCATCTGACACCTTAACAAAGATACAAATTTTAGAAAAAATATACCTCAGTACTCACTGCAGTGAGTGACAGAGAGCGCATTTTCTAGTCGACGAAAACATGAAGTCACGGACGGACAGACAGACGGACAGACGGACGAACAGACGGACATGGCGAGCATAACGGTGCATTTTTTTAATAAATTGGAAAATGCGCTAAAAAGAGTGGATAAACGTAGCGAGTTACTGATGAACAATTATTAGAATAACAGCTGGTGTGTGTGCATGGCGGCAAGTTTCAAGGTCGCCATCTAACACCTTAACAAACATAAACTTTAAAAATAAAGAGCAGATCAACGTAGCGAGTTATTGATGAAGGCGCTCTAAGTTGGTCATGCCAGAGTGTTGTTACTTCTATAGTTAATGATCACAATTTTTATATATTTAATTTGCGTTGCGTATGATTCATATACGCATCTGCTATAATTGATGAAAGTGTAAATTAACTGAAATCTAATTGGACTCGTACTTAGCTCGCCGATGTGCTGAATTTTTTGCGTCACAATTTGGTGATTGCTTACGAATTTAGTTTTTCTCGATGCGATTATATTTTTTTATTTCTACGGAAACATCCGTGTAAAAAGATTTTACAGTCATAATTGCAACTTTAGATTTTTAATAAGTTCACGCAAACCAATCCGATATTTTCCTTTGTACTTTTTACTCAAACTTCCTGGGAAGCGTTGATACCTAACGATCAAACATTTAATTTTTACTTCGTATTAGCTATCTTTATTTATTATTATTTTTGATGTCAATGCAGCTACAAGTTCTTTATTTCTTCAATGCGCTTCTAAATAATTTTTTAATGTTTTACTACATTCGAGTTATCCGATACCTGAACACTCGTATATATAATACACAAAATAAAAGTATTTCGTATTTTATCAGCAGCAATCTCCATGAATACGATCGTTCTCTTATGATAGATTGTTGGCAGCCTGAAATGAGAACAAGTGATCCATCCGCAGAGGCAATCGTGCTGCTTCATTTTTTGCGCCGGTGTTGACTGTTAAAAGCGAACATATTGTGGAGAATTTTCGATTAAGTTTCCTTCTAACTGAGTGTAGAAAAACATATGAATCCTTTTACGACTTTAGAGATAAAAGACAGAAAATGAATTACACTAGCACTCGACTATTTTTCTTTTACTTACAGCGTAAAAATATGTTTCTTAATTAGTAATTAAGGTCAACCCATCGATTTATTCGGAAAGTTTAAAACTTGTTCTTAGGCAAGCAGTGATACTGAACTAACGCGGTAATGATTTAGTGACAGGCTGATGTTAGTTAAATAATTGGATTATAAGAATGGGTGAAAACTTATTGTACAGCTGGCATGGAATCTTTGCCATTAATTCTCCTTTTTGGTCGTCGAATTCAAGTTAAAAGAAATTTGAGCTTCCGTTGCTAAGTAAGGAATACAAAAATCAAACATTCTATCATGGTTGCTTTTAAATCCAATCAAATCTATTTATTGCCCTTGTCCTACCATTTGAGCTTTGACTCATATTTTTACTGACTTGTTTACATTATTTGAGAGCAATTTAGTTGAGTGTTATAAAGAAAAATAACTGGGAATTGATGTTTGTGAATGAATAAAAGGGAATTCTCAGTGAAAGTGAATAATATTCTGCGCCAACTAACATTCACTATTCGCATGTTATTCTCAGTATAAAGCTCCAAATAAGTAAATCTTAATGCAAATTTGAACACAACCTGCAGACTAACCATTATGTTGCAGTGACGCAGCTCATGAGCGGCCAGTCGGTTCAGTTCAGCCAGAAGAATTACGTAGTCCAGGTGTCTGAAGCGGCTGCCCCGGGCACCATACTTCTACTACAGGCAATTTCTCCTGATGAGGGTGCGGACCTTTTTGTGCGTAGTTTTAAATTATGAAGGAATTTTGTTCCTAGTCTATTATTCCGGAAAATTTTTGTCTTTTTAGCGCATTTTCTCATTTATGGAAAAAATGCACTATTATGCTCGCCATGTCCGTCTGTCTGTCTGTCCGTCCGTCTGTCCGTCTGTCCGTCCGTCCGTGACCTCAAGTTTTCGTCGACGTGAAAATGCGCTCTCTGGCACTCACTGCAGTGAGTACTGAGTTATATTTTTTACTGTTTGTAGAAACTATCAATAGGTTTCTGTTCTTGATTCTAGATCACAATATACAATTGAACGATCAAGGTTAGATGAAAATGCAAAAGACCCACGTCTTTCGAAGTTATTAACTCAAATCCAAATTACGCCATTTAGAACGTGTTTAAAGTTCGAAATTTAGTTTTCTATTATTATGTTTAACTGCTTAAGCAGTCTCAACTATAACCTTTAAGCTATTAGCATTTTAGATATCGGCGAAAAGTTTTGTCAATATATAGATCGAATTTTCTATCGTGCATATTTTGCACGCAAGTTTAAACTTCGTGCTTCCTGAAAGCTTTTCGAAATAAAATTACATTAACCCTCAGAGATCGCCTTGGGAATGTTGTTCAGCGCCGCGGTCGACTTCTCTAAACGCACCAGTGTAATTATCATTATAACATTACGAAATTTTGCATCACGATAAAAAAGGCCTCGAAGGTTTAGAGGCAATCTTGAACAAATTTATGCACCGTAAACAATCTGCTTTACATTAAATCAGCTTAGCATTATGAGAAAGAGTAGGTGCCGCCATAATATCATTGTATCAATGAATTATCGTGATATTATTCAAGGAATTAATATTTTCGCACGGCTAACCTTGAGCCTTGAAAAAACGAAAGTATAACTCTTCTTAATTGCTTCCCGCAATTTATTGAAGACAAATGGGGCAAGCCGGTTGATTCATGAAACAAATGAAACAAACATCACATGCTCCTAAATGGTATTGCTGTTTCAATTTACGGTAATAATCAGATTATTTCGTATCAGATCTGAAGCAAGTTCAAATACAGAAAAAATGATTACTTACTGTGTCTACAAATCCAGTCAGCAAAATATAGCTCATTCGTTCTCGCAAATTGATTCGAGCCTAACAATTAAGTAATTACTGTATATAATATTATTTCAATTTTCCGTTCTCCGTGTTTACAAACTTTGGTTTTTAGATAGGCTTACGGTCAATTTTTCATCTATTCCAGTCAATATTCCAGGTACGTTAAATCATTCACTATTTTTGGCTTTTGTTTATTATTATTATTATTCTTTTTTGTATCCTAGGGGTTACTTTATTTTTTCCCTCATTCATCACGTCTGCCGATGATGGAAACTTTAGAAATTTATTTTGCCGTCGTTAACCACTATAAGATTTATTTAGAAAAGTTGATAGGGCTTTTCGCCTGTGCTCTCAATGTAAAATTTTAGTTACTTTCCCTGGCATTTTAGCTGGGCGAGGCAGCCCTTGACGATGAGATACCAAACCCGTCGCGTATGCCGAGCTTTGCCTCAGTAATTTGGTGAATTTTATCCACTCAACCCCTAGCTGCAATCCTTGCCATACACTTTGTATAATTATCATGTGAAAACTTTATATGCTTGGATTGTTCTTAATATATTTCCCTAATGAATATTTCGTGCTCGCCAGAAACCGTTGGCAAGAACCACGACGCGTGTCAAATTATTCCACCCTGAGAAACCAGTCGTTCTATGAGAGATTTTACAAAAGGAAACCGCAATGAAATTCATTGCACATGTTTCGCCAAGTATGGCTTATTCTCCCCCACAGCAATAATTTGTTAACTTTTTCTAATGTCGGGCAGTTACGTAGACGTTTCTTATCAAATCAAAATAACTGCGCATAATCACGAGAACCTTGGACTCTCTCCCGGCAGAGGCGGCCGTGCTCTACAAGCTTGCGAGCGACAGCGCTTCTCCTCTTTTTCGAGTGGACGCTCAGTCAGGCGCCCTGCAGTTGCTTGGTCCCCTCGACTTCGAGTACCAAACTCAGGTGAGGGAGAGACTCGAGTGCCGTGCCATCAGAGGGGTGGTTGAGGGCAGCAGCCCAACACGAGGGTTTCTGCTAGTCAATTGGATGAAGAAATTGCGCTGAGAATTGCATGGAAATCATTTCCAAGCAAAGTGGATGATAGCCGAATGTTGACGTGGTTATATATGAATACGGATGGGCTGATGGAGAGAATTGATATTTGGTAGGACATACTATTTTTGTTAAGGATTATTTAGTAAACATTGTATTTTGGGGATAACGTTTCTGCATAAATATATGAATATGATCCAACGAGAATAGATTCAAGATTGTTTACGGACGTTGGCATTACTGAATATCATACCTTTGCGATAACATTATTAATGATTCGGATAATACAGTAAATATTATTTTCAGCTGATGATGTAGTTCTATAAATTCCTAAATTTTAGTCGATTTTTTTCCAAAATTGTTTAGAATGTGCGGGCTTTCCCTTTCCGCAGCACAACCTGACGGTTATAGCAACGAGCAAGGATGGCAAGATCGGCAGCAACGAAGCTCACGTGACAGTCGAGGTGCTTGACGCCAACGATCACTCGCCAGTCTTCGCCGTCCAGCGACATGAGGCGCAAATAACTGAAGAAGATAACCACAACTTGCCCAGGCCCGTATTTACGGTCAGTTTATATTTATTTTTTAATTTTCCCCACTCGTAAATTATCGTGATTGTTAGATCATAAATTAAACTCAAGTTACTCTAAAGTTGAAGATTACGGCTTTAATAAAGGAATTTTTATATTTCAACAAATTGTTCGTTATTTTATCTTGCAATCCGAACTGTTTCCGGTGTTTTAAGCCAGAATTTGGAATAAAATGTCTAATGCACAACATATTGGAACCTCTTGTAAGCGATTGGGCGACTCTGTCGCTAACTGAACAGATTAAGCTGGCCTCAAGATCGTTTTAAACTAAAATATAAAAAAAATAAATATAAAATAATAAATTTCCTCTATTTATTTGCGTTTGAAGCAATCAAATGATATATATACAAGTAGTGACATCTCAAAGTAATTTTGATTCTCGAACGATAACTTTTTTTTTGCTAATGAGAAGTTTTGTCTTTGTACTGTGCTCGTCGTAATGGCGTTCATCAATATTTTCTTCTACATTTAAATATTCCAGATTATCATAACTGTTCTTCGAGTCGCATTTAAGGCTTCCTGTCATCGCTATTCACACTTAATCGTTAAAACAACCTACAGACTTTTTCGAGTGCAGGTTAAAGCTACTGATGGAGACAAGGGAGAGTGGGGAGTGCTGCGGTATTCTATTTCTGGGGACGGTACCGCAGCTTCTGATAACCTCCCAAGCTCCGATCGTTTCTCCGGCATGAAGATCTCAGCCGCATCCTCCTCGATCGAATATGGCCACAAGCGACGAGGAAAAATGCACCGTGACGGAGCCGGACAGCATAAACCGAATACCGAGCGCAGAGTTGCAACTTTGTTTATGGAGAACGAAGATGGACATTACCGGTCGCCACCTCTCCTGGATCCAGGAGGTGTAGCAGTGAATGGCGCTAATGCATCCATAGCTAGTCATCAGACAGATAAAAATAGCCATAAACTGACTGTAAATAGCGACTCAAGTGCAATAAACAGAACGAATATAGCTGGAAAAGTCCGGTTTTCTACTGATAACATCCCAGAATCAGCCGTGCACAATTCTTATAGAGTTGTAGATGGCCTTTCTAAGACATTGCATAACACAGTCCCCAGTGAAGGCAATCATAACTTCTCTTCTTTAGATCCAGATTTACTTTCGGAAAGTGAACATTTTCAGGACACTCATTCGTGGGAGAAGAGAAAAGAAGCTGCCTTCACAATTGATCCGGTCACAGGCACAATAAAAGTCATGCAGGTGGGAATTGTTTCATCTTTGCTGGCATTTCGATGACATGTTGTGGCGATTATCGATATTCAATTTATATGCTCATCGAAGTGACAGCGTTTAGAGAATAATGAAATATTTATTATTATCACAACTATCAATAAAATATCTGTGAATACCTGTGTGTTTAAATAATGATGTTGGAAATATTGTGTGTGTACATATGTAATTGGAACTATGAAACATTATAAAACGGCGAGGGATTAAGTAAATTTATAATGGAAATTCCATGCCACGTCAGGACCAAACGGATCTTTTTAAGGGCATTAAAGTCCAGCCCTATAACCGAATTTTTTAAATATGCATTACATAAATTTGGAAATTGTTGACATTGCATCTAAAACAAAATTAGTGAAATTTTTAGTATAGGAAACCGTATCACAGGAATCGATATAAAAAATGGGATTTCATAACAGAATTTACTTATATCAGGGATTATCCATCCAAAGCAGGGCCGGGTTTAGCAACCACTGAATAATACTATATGAGCGCCAAATGACTTCTCGAACTATTTATTCATTTTAGTCAATTCGCTGCCTCTTACTTAATTTTTAATTTATTCAATGTGTAAAATTCTTATACTGATTATAATATTCATATGTTGCCAAACGATTATTCTGAAATTATTTATCACCCCAGGAAAGATGAACTCTATAACATTGTCACCTTCACCAGCCCCTAGATCGCGACCCGCCTCACGGGCGTGCAACGTGGCGCTTGGTGGTGACCGCGTCAGACGGGGAGCTGCAAGCCGACACCGAAGTTGTGGTCAACCTCAAAGACATTAACGACAACGCACCGGTGTTCCTTACTGCACGTGTTGAGGCTACGGTTATTGAGAACTCTCCTAGCGGTGAGTTATTTGCTGTAGGAGCCTGTGTTCCTTACTGCACGTGTCGAGGCTACGGTTATTGAGAACTCTCCTAGTGGTGAGTTTTTGGCTGTAGGAGCCATCCGTTCACGGTCTTGGGATAAAAAGAAATTTGTAGTACGAGTGGAATTCATTTGTGCTTCTCTTGATTCTTTTTATAAATTGTGATTATATTGGTGAACAAGCCTCAAGGTTTATACCAATTCAATGGTTGTGGAAAATGCTTCTCTCTCGTTGATAATTACGAACGTATTATAAAATGCATCACAGATTTTGTTGGTAATCATTTAATGTATTATTAATGAAGCGATGATGAAGTATTAATGAAGTGATTTCAACATTAATTCACGTGTTCATTTTAGCTAACAGAAACTAAACTTTAAACTTTAAACTTTACTTTAAACTCTAATATCTTAAACTTTTTTAAATTAATATACTCGTTAACAATAATAATAGCATTAATAGTAATAATATTAAATAATAAAAATAATAAAGATAATAATAATAACAATAATGAATACAGGAACTTTTTGCGATCAGTGACTTTAAAGACAATGGCAACAGATGATCAAGCTGACTTCAATGTGACAGCATTTTTCTCATGAGCTGGGAAGCCTTTAAGGCTCCTTTGTTCGGCAGCAATCGACAGCTTGCAAAAAGCTCTGAATCTTTCATCTTGAAGATGCACCGTCAGTGCATTATTCTAATGGAGGCCTTTAACGTCTTCGCGACGCCTTTCAGAGAATTTCGTACAATTGAGGAATGCGAAGGCATCATTTTCCCTATAGAGCATTTTAGTCTCTGCAAACACAAGTGCTTTGATTCTTCCTTAAGGTTACTTTTTTTTAACATATTGCACTCGCCGTCAGAGCTCTCGTCGCTTGGGAATTTGCCATCGCCATAACCGACCTCGTTTGCTTCCTGCCGTAAACCAGGCACGCCTGTAGTCACGATAACAGCCGAAGACTTCGACGACAAGAACGAAGGGTCCAATTCTAAGCTGATTTACTCGTTGCAAAAGAATGCTGTGGACGAAGAAACTGGCCTGGCAATTTTCACCGTCAATGCTTCAACAGGCAGTATCAGCACAGCCATGTGTTGTCTGGACAGAGAACGTGCGAGTCATTACAGCCTAACTGTTGCTGCTACAGATGGAGGTGGATTGCAAGGTTAGCAATTGTCTACTTCAACTAAATAAATCTTACGGCACATTGAATGTCAATTTTAAAGTAATTTCACATCAATATGGTGAAATGCAATTTAAACGCTAGTTACAGATACTTACTTTACTTACTTTACTTTTCAAAAAAAGTTTTTTTACTTAATTTACTTCTCAAAAAGTGTTTCCAGTGCCCAATATGAATAATTTTCATTACATGACATATTTCACTATAATAAATTATTAACGAAAAACTATATATTTACTTGCATTTTTTTATGACAACAATAACTCCATGACTGATATTGAAAATATTTTGATAAATAATTTTATTAAAATAAAATTTATTTCCACGTCCATACTCATTATCAATAAGAATAATATGTATTTATGACTCGAATAATGTATCGTTAAAGATTGCATTCAATTCCTAACCACCGTCGTTGGATATATATGAGCTCCGCATTGAATTATTTATGAGCGGCATTGTGTAATGTAAAGTTTTTTCTATTATATCATTTTGGAAAATTCCTCAAAAAAGGCCGTTTGTGGTTATTTGTTCAGCAATCATTTATGAGAGTTATTTTAAAGACAGACGTTTACTGTGAGCACCTGTCTTATTTAGAATAAAAGAAATATTTCCTTATTTATAAATAGTGTATGATAATTTTTTTGAACAATATTCTCATAAAATCTTTATTTTTTCCTCTGTTTCTTCGCCAAAAATATATTCGGCATCTATTATTCGTAAATTTTTCATTTAAACATTTCCTGCTGCCAACACAACTCACCCGACTCCATTTTTCGCCCACTGCAGGTTCCTGTGAAGTTTTGGTATTAGTGGCGGATGAGAACGACGTTCCTCCGCGGTGGGGGCGAGCGGAGTGGACAGTCGAGGTTACCGAGGGCGCGCCCCTCGACCAGGTTCTCGCTACCCTCACTGTTAAGGACCCCGACACCCGCAACAGTTTGGCCTACAGGGTAACTTACGTTGCTTCATGTCACTTCATCAGAATTTTTTGTTTCATCTTGTTGAACTTATAATATTCATGAAGAAAAGCTGATTTCACAGAGCTGGTCTTCTGACATGGTAGTATCTGTATTTTTTTTATACTGACGGGTCATTGCATATTACTCGCCAGTTATTCCTCTGCGATAAGCTAGTACTAGTACAAATTCATTGTCCAATCTTGATTCTTTGCTTTACCATTACCCGCATCTCCGTAAGTTCTTTTTAGGAATATTTTCAGAATTATATTACTCTTTTGGGTGTTAACATTACTAACCACTCCCAACTGATGCTCTTACCAATCTGAATGTTTTTTGCTGTACCTGCTTCGACTAGCACTTTTGCCAATTTCAGAGGTTAAGGAGGACCAAATTCTAGACCACAAAAATGTCAGCCTAATGTAAACGTCATTCAAGGTGAAGCCGTACAACAATTTACTGAGAATATTATCAACATTAACACGTTGACTCCAATTGCTTCATCTTGTACTATTATTTCCTCTTTTTTAGTATTATGAAGCATAATTGCCAGACGGTCTTTTTTTCCAGACAAATCCGGCGATTTAGTTTTTTCCATTGCATTGGCCGGCTAAAATGTATGATAGGGGTTCTTCCTAATTAAAATTAAAAAACTGCAAAAAAATGAAATGGAATTTTCACACCGGAACCTACATATATACCACTATATATTGAGTTATGGGCCTTTTTTGTTCGCGGACTTGGCCGTTTTTTAGGCCATCTGGCAACCCTAAACTATGTATCACAACGTCCTTGAGAAATAAACTTCGTGGTGCGCATATTTAAATGTTGACACTTCGGAGTCAACATTTTAAACAGCTTTTGCATGCAGAGATACTTGAATCTTAGGAGTCATCTCCGTGGATTTTGTACAATCCTACCAGAATTTGTGCCGTTCAAAAATTTACTCATCCGAATTGCTCAATTTAATGAACAGTGACAGAACGTTGATTATGAATTAAATTAATCTGTTCCTTAATGAGATTGGATGCACCGCATTTGAATAATTATGTCGAGCAATGTTCAAACTAAACTTGGCGCGCGATGTCTGAGGCTGTAGAGGCTCAGTTCTGCAATGCCTGCTCGGTCTATGAGCAATAATTAGCTTTAATTGATTCCAATTCGTTGCAGGCCTTAATGACTGTAGTGGCCGTTGGGAAAGTTTGTAGTCAAATACAGTTTCGATTGCACCATATATGTAATTAATTTGTATTCATTTCTGCATTCAACTACAATATTTCACTTCACGAATTAAGTTGACTGTTAATGGCTACGAATTAAAATGTTCCCAGTTTTTTCGTGATATGCTATAAATAATTGAATAATAATTATACACTTTTGATACAATGAACTTAGAGATCTGACGAGTAATTAAAAATATAAATTGTTACTCTTTTTAGATAATTCTCTCGGGATTTTCTCGTACACGATAATGTAATCGGGAATAAAACTTGAAGGAGGGTATGCCATTTTATTAAGATTTATTCAATAATTTAGTTCATTACTTTGACAAAAAATTCTTGGTTGCGGGATGACAAACATGAAAATGTCCCGGCTATCGTCCTCCTTCGACGCATTTTTCCACCTTTCATGTAGCTACAGGGCTGTTCAATGATGCCACATTTGCATCTATGTTCAAAAAAATTCGTTCCAATGGTTTTCAGTTCTCAATACGCCAAGGATAAATATATGTATGCATTTCCGTACAACATTTGCCTACACAATAACACAATTTCCAACCGTCGCCGTGAATATCATTACACTGAGATCTCTTCAATTTCTGAACTTCAATTTTCAAATTCTGTGACCTGAAAATTTTCGATGCATTTTCCTACAGGCCTCAAATGTAACTGAATATCACGAGCATATAGGGCCTCGTGTCAATGCTCAGAGCTGATGGATACATTGTCGTCTTCATTTTTCTAGTTGTATGATATGGGACGAAACTTACCATATTTTTATATTTTGACATGATGGGATAGAGAAACCGTGTCTGTCCTTCACTGATGTGAAGGACAGACACATATTTTATTCAGAGAGTTTTAAAGCAACAAGCTGGGAATTTTGTCTGCGTTGGGATGAGAATCAATTTTTTGTAATGTTCAATCCTGCTATTCTTCAGATTCTGCCATCAGAGTTGAAACTGTAGTTCGCATAACAGAATTATTTTGTTCAACAAATGTTTTATGCTTTATAACACAAGCAAGAACATTTCATTCTTTCTTTCAATGGTCTCTTTAAAAATTTCAAACAGTTTTTACATCTTTTCCTTCAGATAGCTCCTGATAGTGGGAGGGGCTGGCAGATGGTGAAAATAGAAGGGCGAACAGCTGGTGATGGCGCTGAGCTCAGGAGTCTGGTCCCTCTTGATTATGAAAACCCTGACCTAAAGGACGGCTTGAAATTCCAAATTCAAGTCACCGATCAGGTAATTATCCATATGATAGTGACTGAAACTCCGCTTCATAGAAATGTTACAATGTAAACAATATAATTCAATCATTCTGTTCTCTAAAAAATCGCTATTTCAGCCCCGTAACTTGATTATGCGAATATCATTCGTACACATTCATGTAATCTGATTTATTTCTCAATGCTTCGGCGGTTTTCTTTTATTTTTTATTTGTTTAAAGCATCGTCTTCGTATACGTAGATTTAACGCGCAATGCAACCAAGTTCTTACGTACTATTATGTAAAGAAGATGTTTGAAATATAAAATCAAGAAACATATCGTATATGTATGATATTTGCAAGAACAATATGCTAAACAATGCAAACCTACATGCTTCCTCTCGACTTCACACCATGCAATCAACTCTGGCGGTCGATTACATTTGCTCTTCTTACTCTAGGTTATCCAAGTTTATTGGATGGTGGAAATGAATAAAGTATAAAGATCGAAGTTCAAGGTATACCTTCCGAATGGTTTTTAAATTCTTTTTTTTTTGCCTGTCTTAGGGAACGGATGCATGGGAGAACAAGTACAGGGTGGGCGAAGCGACCGTCATAGTGCGCATATTAGACGTTAACGACAACGCTCCATCATTCGAAAAAGTTCAGCAAAGCGTGCGGATCAGCGGAGACGCGCCACTTGGAACGGTGGTGGCAAAAGTGCCTGCCTTCGATCTGGACGAGGTGAGCAAACGAGGGATACTTGAGTTCTTCTATAGAGGCGAATCGCTTAATGTTTATTTGGTTATGTTAGCTTACAGTCGGTTTTGCTAAATAAGGGAAATGTTAATATAATTTAAAATAGTAGAAACGACAGTGTCCAACTCGCTCTAACGTAACTTTTGACGCGGATTAATTAAAACCTTCATGCAAGATTTCCTTGAACAGAAACATTCAAAACGATTTATTCAGCTCACTCATTCACTTTATATTCAGCTGGGTTAATAAAATGGTGCAATAAATTTCAGCATTAACATTAAAAACTTTTTTCCTGACTGCATTAACTACAAGAATACAACGCAGAACCGCTTTATGTCGAGAACACAGAACAGGAATGGCTTGGTTCGCTACAGCCTCGCTGGTAGGAGAGGATCGAGTCCTCACTTCGGCATCGACCACACAGGGACCATCAGGACCATCGGCCTAGTGGACAGAGAGGCCATCAGCAAGCACAGCCTAGTGGTTCATGCCACTGACCACGGAATGCCGCCACGCCAGTCGTCCGCTACTGTAACTGTAAGTGGCAAGACTAGGTGGCATGATTGTAATGTAGTGTAGTGGTTCATGCCACTGACCACGGAGTGCCGCCGCGCCAGTCGTCCGCTACTGTAACTGTAAGTGGCATGACTGTAAGTGGCAAGACTGTGAGTGGCAAGACTGTGAGTGGCATGACTGTAAGTGATAATACTGTAAGTGGCACAACTGTGAGTAGCAAAACTGTAAGTGGCGAGACTGTAAGTGGCAAGACTGTGAGTAGCAAAATTGTGAGTAGCAAAACTGTAAGTGGCAAGACTGTGAGTGGCGTGACTGTAAGTGGCATGACTGTAAGTGGAATGACTGTGAGTGGCATTACTGTGAGTGGCAAGACTGTGAGTGGCAAAAGTATAAGTGGCAGGACTGAAAGTGGCTTGACTGTGAGTGGCATGACTGTGAGTGGCATGACTGTAAGTGACAAGACTGTCAATGGCAGAACTGTAAGTGGCAAGACTGTAAGTGGCAAAATCGTAAGTGGTAAGACTGTAAATAGCAAGTTATTTTTAACCGAACACCTGATCTTCACTATTTAAACATATTTATGACTTAGTTCCGCGTGAAATTATCGAACTTTGTTCAAACGTTCAACATTCGAGGTTAGTATTTATCTTTTAAGAATGGAAGAGCATTTGCATGAAAACGTTACGAAAACTCCTGCAGGTCAATTGGCTGTATTAATCACCGAATTACACTTACTTCTCGAATTCAGCATTAAACTTATTTCAAATTTTCGCAGGAATAAAGTTTCCTAAAAAGACAAACATATTCGCTGTTACGATCAACATGTATTTCAATCGTCACAAACACTGACACAATTATTATTTCACTATATTTAGATAACTTTTCTGCTGTTCAATTCGAGAAAAATTAGTATTTTCTGAATCAGATGTATTGTTCATACATAATGAATGATATGTCAATGTTATATCAATATTTTCTCTCACATATATTGAAGGTTGAAATCGATGACGTGAACGACAACGCCCCCATCTTCACGGGTCCCACGTACGTGAACGTGCACAGAAAAAACATCGAAGGCTTCACGAGTTTTTTTAACCTGACCGACCTCGATGATTGGAGTGTTGGCCATGGACCTCCTTTTTCCGCCCAGCTTGATCCAAGGGCTCCCAGCAGCATAAGAAAGGCCGTCAGTGTCGCATATAAGCGAGGTGAATATCATTTGTGTCATTTGTGTTCATCCCATACTTGGAGTGTTGGCCATGGACCTCCTTTNACGCGCCGGCGTCATTCGTGGTGCCGGTGCTGACAGTTGACGGGGGGCGGCCCGCCATGACAGGCACCGTGTCCCTCACCATCGCCGTCGTCAGCGAGGACAGCCCCATAGCTGTCAGGGACGTCACTCTTGTTGCTCTCAGCGTACGCAAATCACAGATTCGAAGATTGAATGAAATTCAATCAAATTTTTTATTACTTACGCATTTTTAATTTAATAGGCTTAGTTATTCAGTTTTTCAATACTAAACTGTTTTCTCCTAAAGGTGTGCAATTTTTATCAATTTCTTGGAAAATTTTTTTGTGAAAAATGACGTGAAATGGTTCATTGCATCCTAGCAGAAGAATGAAATACTACCATATTAATTATCTCGTGGTTGGCTAGAACGCAATTAATCGCGCGGTATAAATGCACGTATCGAGTTGCCCATCACAACATCAGAGTTTATTTATTCCTACCGTTTTCAATTTTTTCATTTTTTTCACAGTCTGAGATGGAAATCGGACAAGCCATTCCTCTAGGCTCAGTTTCCTCAGAAGAGTCTGGCAAAGCAGAATATTCTTGGTCGAGATCCCACAAGTATTTTGTGCTGGACAAAAGATCAGGATACTTGTTTGCTGAAGCTGCTACTCCTTCTGGCAGGTGAGTACAGCCAACGTTATTGTCAGTAACGTTATTTTGCAATGAAATATCAGGTCTCGGTTTGTTGGGGCTTCTAGTAGATGAACACGATCAATTTCCTTTCCAGATATTAAATTCGATCTCTAATTGTTGCGGTTTTGTACTACATGATAAAATGTATAGATTCATTTCTAACGATCAGCCCTTGTAATTATTTTCTTGTTACTTTATTTTTCCTAGCAAAGGATGCTTACGTCTCTGATATCCTCGTACTACCATCCTATTTTATCTGAATAACGTTCTTTTCTGTCATCATAACTTATTTCTAAATCAACTTCAGACATTCTCATACTCCTTGGATACATTTGCATGAATCAACTATCCCCTGCCTTTGCCCCAGTCCTCTACTGATTTATTCAATCTGCATATATATTAGAATAACATATATAAATTCATCCCTCTGCTACTCATCTCCCCGCAGCTACGGTCTGAGCATCGCTATTTATGAGCCGCCTGCGCCTGACGTGCAGGCGAGCCTCAACGTGGCCGTGAGGCGGCAGGCGAGGCACCAGGCGCTCCACAGCACGCCTGTCGTTGTCGCGGCTAAACCCGCGGCGTTGATCGACACCACGCAGGTCTTGCTATTTTATTCCATGCTAATCTAACCAATTTTAGAGAAAAATGAATTGTCATTTGGTGTGTGCATTTAAAATGAATGAGTATCATACATGATTTCTTATAATTTAACCGCGTTGTGGGTTTCTGTCATAATCTTATACCGTTTGCATTTATTCCCAATAGACTGGCACTTCACTTCTCCATGCACTCGAGGTGACTCTCACTCGACTAAGATGGCGCGCAAGTCACGGATTCTCTTTGAATTTGACAGCCGCCGAATTTTTGACGCATGAACCCAGGACTCCCTCGGTTAAAGTTGTATCGCTAGAAGGAATCCGACAAAACTCTGACGAACATGTCTCCAGAGTCTGGCTCGCAGACTCTACCAAAACGTCTTTAGAATTGTTCATTGCTTTGAATAAAGCACAGGTTCGTTCACTTGTTCGGAAGTCACGAATTTGGATTTCTCCAGCTTCAAATGTGATGAAATATATTTTTGAAGTATACCATTCATACTTATTTGCAAAAGAAATTTTGCTGGCACCAAATTGCGTAAACTTTATTTGTAGTGTTAATTTGATTTTGATGATTGACCAGTTTATCTAATGAACAAAATATTCAAGGAAAGGAATTCCTCCTGATGTTTTATGATACTACAAATATTTACACAGATAGAAGAGCACCTTTTAATAAATAAATTCTGCTTGAACCAACTTGCAACTTAGATTTTATTTATAATCTTAATTTAATTTTTATAATCGACCTGTTTATCCAATGAAAAATATTCAAGTCTGGAAATGCTTCCTGATGTTTTATGATACTACAAATATTTGCACAGATAGAAGAGCACCTCGGGGTGAGCATTCTGGGGTCTGGGATGAGCGGAGCAGGCACTCTAGACTGCGGCAGGTCTTGCGAATGTTGCTGCAGTCCCCGCACGGTCTTGTCTGAAGGCTACTCAATAACTCAGACTCCGACGGCCACCTTTGTCGGTCCGATCCTGAGCCTAGACTCCAATTGCAAATGCATAAGTAATTCGACGGTCAGTGAAGTGAACCCAACATTGGACGATCAGCTTGGCGGAACATCAGGTTTATCTCCCAGGCTTGCAGGCGAGCAATCCTTGAACGATCAAAGGCAAGGAGGGACGGCGACCCGAGCGCCTTATGCTCACGCTATGAGGAACAAGCGCGTCAACGGAAAACTTGTTGATTGCAATGAAAATACCTGCCTTAATGGAGGCAAGTGCCTGCCTTCTGCTCCTGGATACAAGTGAGTTCAAATTAAAAATCAAATCCGGCTTGCTTAAAGCAGATATGGAAGGTGAAATATTTTAAGAACGGTAAATCCTTGAGTTTTACTGAGTTTTATAAATAAATTTCTTAGGAAAGAGCTGCAAGCATCGAGACTTGTGAAAATTGTATTCTCTTTTTAATTTTTTTATTATTTGCCACCTGATATAAAAGATTCAATATCGTTCAAGACCAGCAGCACCCTGATTTTAATAATTGGGAATATTAAGGTAAAATGCGATGCGAATTTATATTTGGTTATTTTCTCGCGAGTTGGCAGGTGCGTCTGCCCAAGCCACACGATTGGGCCTCGTTGCAAAATCCTGACTCGGCACTTTGCCGGGAGCGATGCGAGAGGCTCTGGGTCATGGCTTTGGCTTCAACCTTTAAACCCTTGCTCAAAACTTCAGCTACGCTTATTTTTACTCACCCGCTCCAAGAATGGAACCGTACTCTCCAGCGTTGAGAAGCACGGAAATAGGAGAGTGGGTCTGGTACTTCAACTAAAAGAAGGAAAGCCGCTTTTTCGTTTGTCCCTCAACTCGGCCGCTGTTGACGTGAGCGTCAATACTTCTCTAGCAGACCTACGGTGGCATCGTGTGGACATTTTCTGGCGAAATAAAGTACGTATTTTCGATTAATTAGAATTTTCATTTCAAATAATTCTATTATAAGCTTTGGCAATCAATTTCATTGGTTATAATTGCTCTAATGATCTTCACACCAAAACCATCATTACAATTAGAAGACCAATTTGAAGACGGAACTATTTATTCTAACCATCTTGAAAACAGCAACTATACCGTATTTTTCTAGACCCATTCTCAAAGCAACAATCATTCTGAGCCACGCTTTGAATTCCACAAAGCGCTAGTAAAAGTTTTGTAATCTGGAAATTACGCTGTGCACTGCTATTCCCACTAAAAGCTTAGCAAATATACTCTCTCCGTGAATCACCTTCTACATTTTTTATACCAATTTGTTATTTCAATTATCGTTTTTCAACGCATAATATTTCATGATTGAGAAAAATGTTTACAAAAATTTTCTTTCCTGATACATTGAAATTGTTTGATCATTTGATTTATATTAAACTATCCATATTTTTGATACAAGCATTAAATTGCACAATAAATCGGTACATAATCCCCAGACAGTCGAGATGATCATCGACAACTGCGTAGGACAATCCACAGAAAATACATTAGAAGAAGACCGTGGTCCCGGCCTAGAAGAAGACCGCGGTCCCGGCCTAGAAGAAGACCGCGGTCCCGGCCTAGAAGAAGACCGCGGTCCCAGCCTAGAAGACCGCGGTTCCGGCCTGTCCAAACAATTCTACTGCAGAAATGCTGTGCACGCGCAAGATTTGACTGGCCAACTCAACACAAGAGGCGCGCCTTTGCAACTCGGATACATGTACGCAAGTTCCAGTGATGCATTGCACGAGAATAATGGCGATAAACAATCCTACTTCAAAGGATGTCTCAGGAATATACGACTCAATGGAGAGGTAGGAAATTACACTGTAAGCTCATAGCACAATATAATTAATAGATTTCACAATGTATAATTTAACATCTAATAGGAGTTCTCAAATCATGAATGCAAGTTTTCCGTACATTAAATGTTAAAAATATTTAAAATTCAGAATTTTATTACTTCATGATAAATATCATTCATTCTTCATTCATGATCGAAAATTTTCAGTACATTGAATAATAAAGAAAAAAAGTTTGGGCGTTGAAGCAGGTAATCTTCATCAAATTAATAGCTATATAACTAATCTTATATAATTTTGATCCATTACCTGAAACATTCAGAAGTCTAAGGTAAAATAATAAAGAGATACTCTAAATTAGTTTGCATTGCCCTGCAGAGCCAATATCAACAGATGTTGATTGTAATCATAAGTTTTTCAGCTCCAGCACCTCGCATAGAGAAATTAACCATCGTTTCTCTTTTGCGACCGATACACATTTTATTGTTTTGTGACTCATACATGACTTCTATCTATCACAAAATTTTAAGCGCAAAGCCTTAGATATACTTAACATCGCGCCCAGTGCTCAAAACGAACATGAGATTAATTTCTTTATTAATTTATACTTTATTGCTTCCATTTTGAGGGTAATTTTTAATATTAATGATTCGTAATAGATTTCCAGCAACAAGTTGGAGTACAAGATACTATTCATAAATTCAAACGAAGAGAGATCGTACTGCCATTAAAAAATTCTCTTAAGATAACTCAAGCTCACATGTAAATATAGTTATCTCAAGCTTACATGTAAATATACTTAACTCAAGCTCAGATGTAAATATAATTAACTCAAGTTCACATTCCTACAAAGATCACATTAACATGCAGCTAAGTTTGTCCGCTTCACAATCAAATCTCGATTTCAGTCCAACTTTGGATCATTAATTTAATATATCTTGTGTAGCCGCAGCTCATTAATTTAGCGATTATGTAGTTCGAAATGCTTATATGGCTACACTTGCTAGAGTAAGCAATTTACGGACACGTATCTCCGCCAGCTACTTTTACTCTGTCCGCGACAAGGGTCGCTTAACCTGTTCAGTGTTCCTAGTTCGTAAGCTTTTTGTGTATTTTCTGGTGCATTTTTTGAGATTCTCTTATATATGTCATAACCTTGCCAAAGTTTGTATTATGTATTCATTTTCGTGTTTTTTTCAGATATATTCAATAATTGCAACTGTATAGTTCCTTCACTATTAAACGAGGTGTAACTACAGTTCTGAACCGTTCTAGGCGTAGCGTCCTTTGAGGAAGGCGTTACATCATGCATCAATTAATTAAAGAAATAAAATCATAAACAAGTCTTAATATACATTTATCAACGAATAAGTGATGGAGAATTATTAACGGGTTCTAACTATTTAATATATTATTAATATTATTCATCGTTTAATGCATAAACGAATGCAAGACGGAAAATCTGAGGATTTTTTCTACAGTCTTTTAATCTGGACAGATTCTTAGTAGAACTTTACATATAAAGGAAAATACTACGACGAACAACCAAGAGTCTGGAGATAAAATCTTCGAGTTCACTTGCCACTCCCAAAAAATTTGACTTTCCAGCATAGATTGACCCCTTGAATCTTTCTAATGAGCTCAGCAAAAGCTTAGCTTACAAAACATGCAGTGCAATAATAATATTTTGTTATGCAATAACATTTATGCATAGCAATACACTACACGAAATTTATTTTTACTCCTCGATCGAATTTATTTGAATTGAAGTCGACCCGAACTGGGATGTAAAAATAATAAGCAACAACTTTTTGGATAAATTGCGCTATAAATGATCACGGTAAAAACTAACCTTACATTATTTTAGGAAAAAGAAACTCCACCTTTTTATTGCGGTTTGCTTTGCTGCTCCGGCACGCAGCAACACACAACAGCTACACCCAAATTATTTTAATAAAACTGAGGAAATATCGAATTATTTTGCATCATTTTTTCGGGTACGAGCAAATGCCGCTCGAAAATTGCACCAAATTTCCCCATTATTTGTAGCTCGGAAAGATTGAGGCCTGCGTCCTGCGCTCCCTGAATTCCTGGTAGTCGATGTTTGGTCTAACTTTTACGTTCTGCTTCTTCAGGAAATGCTGTAGTATTTAATGTTTAAAGCATATTATTTAAACTTTAAAGCATGGTATGCAAATAATAATTTGCAATGGTGTATAGGAAGTGACAAATGCAGTAAAATATATTACAATAATTGAATATCTAGCAAGGAATTAATGATGTCTGGAAGCGTTTTCTTGGAAGTTGAACACAGCCATGTTCAACACGTCCAGCGATGCCGCTACTCGCGCTGCGCAAAACAACCGCAGAAATGCAGTCCATCAGATAGCAGATATATTCATGCAGAACTTGAGTTCGTTTGATCACAGAAGAGGTTTACTTCTCATTACGTCCCGGCACTGAACAGAGCTCGTTGTCGCAGTCCCTTTGTTCCACGTCTGAATGTAACTGCGTTATTTTCCTTTTTCTGAGAATTTCTGACACGTCCACGGACATCGAAGTGCCTGCTAATTACTAATAGCGAGCTTCTTCAATTTATTCTCAGATATTTCTATAGACGAAGTGTTCGAGCATATCAGGAAAGTTCATTAATTGTGCATGTCTATGGATTTTACGAGAATGTGACTTGCTGTATTTCAGAGAGAATGTACAATGAGATTCTGCACCATCGGTTTCAGTATTCTCTTTGTGTCTTGCTAGTGATTGTAAATCATGTTGAATATATTGAACACAACGATCACTGCAAATTCTTGTAGTTTTAATATTTTCAACTTTACTTAGATACTTATTGTATAATTATATTAAAATGTTGAGTGAATAATGTTGCGAAAATTGCTTTACGTTCCATTAAATGTTATAAATTTCTCTCCACAACACCTCAACTTCGTGATTTGCTAGTTATCGTAAAGCCACAATCTTGAATCATAATGGGGAAGCATGTTTGTGCAACACTTTCATTTGCAGTCAGCAATTCCTAATGCATAACTCGAGAATAAGAATATCTTTATGTGTACAACAAGGATCGTACTTTCAAATGGGAACAAAACTATGCAAGAGGATAATTCTATTCCGAAAATGTCCCCAGTTTAAGAATGATCAAAAATGTTATCTCACGGACTTCACGCTGTTAGTAATGTAATTTTTCTCCCGTCAAAGCTCTTGGATTTGGGAGAAAATGTGCCCAGTCATCGATCAGAACCTGGCTGTGTCTATCAGAACTGCGCAGCTCTGCGCTGCCCAGCGAACTCCAAGTAAGTTGGTCTTTACCTTCCGAATTTGTTCAGGTGCAGATGTCAATTTTTCTCAAGCAGTGAATAATCTAGGCTTCCGTATGAACCAGCTTCTCAATTTGAATTTCACAATCGTACTTTTTCATTGTAGAATTGGTGAAATGTAAAATTTGAAACTGCGAGAAAATTTATCACATATCAAAATATTGGGTTCTCTCAAACGATTATTTTCTTAGAACTTAATTTTTCATAACGCGATGTTTGACAAAAAAAGAATCTATTAGGAAAATTGATTGAAATTCCTATGTTTTCGTATTCAGAAATACACATTGTACACGGAATAAACTGGAGTAATTATCCGCCAAACGAGCCAAAAAATTCCCACTCGCCCCTAATTACCATAATTAATTGAAATTACTTTTTGATTGTAACAGGGACGCGATGAACGTAACGAATTTATTCAGGTGCAACACTTTCATTTTGATCATCATGAATTTCTTTCAATGCTTTCATTTAATGCGTGTAGGACTGCATGGATACAAACGTAACTACACTCAGTACGACTGTAACGTCGTAAAATTATTCAGTCTGTTGAGGGTTAAAAACGAGCGAGAAACTAATTGAGTCCGTGTTCAAAGAACTCTTTTGCTTGGTGTTTGCGATCCATTCTAAAATTTTAGCGTCGAATTATACACAACTACAAAAAAACTTTATGTGGAATAGTTTTGTGGGACATATTTTTAATTACAATGAAGAATTATTACCCATTCTTAAAATTTATTCGTTGTAAAAAATTGTAAAGACGAGATATCTGTCCACGTGGTCGTAGCGCCGACTGAAACTAAAGGCGACATGTCTGGACAATTGGACGAATGAGCTTCACACATGAGCGAAATAAGTAATATCTCCGAAAAACTGGTAGTAGCTAGTATATGGAATTAACAACTGAATGAAAATAATATGCTCAGGTATACTGCAAATATCTTTGTTTGAAACATATTATTATTGCTCGTTAGTAAAAATTTGTACGTGCCAATAATAAACATCACGTCATATTTAGGTGCCTCGCGATCTACTTGTTAAATACTTGCTTAAAGAATTGCATTTGTTGTATGCTCCTCCTTTCCTTCTCACATATTCCGATTGGACATTTTCTGAAGAAAAACGACCACGAGTTTGCGAAATTTCCTTGTTTGCACACAACGAATCATGGTTTCTGCTTGAATTCACTGGTTTAGTTGGCTGAAGATAAGGCAGTTTTTTCGAGACAATTTGTGAGCACCCCAGCTTGCAGTCTAGCACATCGCGACCCTGCATGTCGTGTAGGACTGCGTGCGTGACCCGACAGCCAGAGTAGGACTGCTATGTACGCAGCATGCAGAAAAGGACTGAGTGCCCCACTGAATGTCATGTGCGAGCCAGGATATGCAAGTCCCGGCAATGTTGGACTGCTGGGCACGACTTAGCGTTGCTGCAGTGTAAAACTGTTCCGTACGACTTTGTCTAATTTATGACAATAACGCACGACCTCTAGCGCATGAAACATGCGCACGAACTGCCATAAACATGGCTGTTGATTTTTATCGAACAATATTCTTGCTGATTTCTTTAGTGCACCCTTACGGAAAATATTTAGTGGGTTCTTTCAAAAAAATTAAATTCAGAAGACAGAACTACAGTACCAGTTCATTCTCAATATCTCGATGACTTTTTTTCAATCTTGTGGAGAATATTCTCTAATAGACTAAAAAGTTTCAATCAAGAACGCTGCCGTCATCCAATCATTGTCTTTACAGCCTCTATATATACTATATAGCTATAGGAGAGGGAGTAGTGATGTGTCACTCTAATTTGCTTAATTCAGTATTCTGCTTGAGTGAAACAATTTAATTGTACTCCAGTAAACGATTCTATAGAACATGAAATACGTCAATACGTTCAGCTAACACTCACCGCTAACATAACAAGCAATTATATTAGATTGGCTAGTTTCAAAAACCTAGTCACCTTCAGTTCAGTCTATATTTAACCGAAGCATTTTAACATGCAAACGAAATTATGAAGTGAACCCGTGACCATATTGACATTAAAGAGGCTATTTTATATTATTAGAGTTAAAAAATTCGCGGAATTGCCAACTATCAAACAAAATAGTTTTGTTCCTGAGCTACATGTTAAGTTCATTCCTAAGTTCACATATGTCCGACTGGACATATGTGGCGCATTTCACGCGTAGGGCTCGTGAGCTCGACTGTACATGTATGGCACGTTTAAAAAATATATTGCAAGAATAATTAAAACTGCCAATGTGCATTAACAAACAACCAAAATAACTCATAAAGCACTCCCAAACCAGAATATCCTAATGCCCCCTACATTTTAATATCAATACCAATAAACTAAAGCATCCTACATCTCACGATGTCTACCCTTAAAAACATGCGCTTCCCTTAAGCAACGTCAACATTGACAGCGTCAAACTGCGTGTGACAGGGACATAATCTCA